TGATTTTTCAGCAGAAACTCTACAGGCCAGAAGGGAGCGGCATGATATATTTAAAGTGATGCAAAGGGGAAACTTACAACCAAGAATACTCTATCCAGCAAGGCTCTCGTTCAGGCTTGATGCAGAAATCAAAAGCTTCATAGATAAAGAAAAGCTAAAAGATTTCAGCACCACCAAACCAGCTTTACAACAAATGTTAAAGGACCTTCTCGGTCATCAAACCGTAAGGAAAGAGAACAACAACAACAAAAAAGAGACCTACAAAAGATTGCTTTGGCTGTTCGGGGTCTTTTGTGGTTCCTTCTAAATTCTGGAATTCTTTGTTCTAGTTCTGTGAGGAATGTCACGAATATATTGATGGGGCTTGTGTTGAATCTGTGGATCGCTTTGAGTAGTGTGGATTCTTCCAATCCCAACAGCACAAGAAATCTTTCCATTTCTTTGTGCCATTTTGATTTTCAGAGTATAGGTAACCTTCTTGGTTAAGTTTATTTCTAGGTATTTTGTTGTTTTTTGATGTAATGGAAATGTCTCTGCCAGTTAAAAAATTCTGGTTTTTCAAGTGGAAAAAAAAAAGTGAATGAAGGGCCACAAATGGCAAAATACCCTTCTTTCTATGGGTGAGTTGTATCCATTACATGTATGTATGTGTGTGTATATATATATATATAGCATCTCCATTATCTACTCAACTCTTGATGTGCACTTAGGATGCTTCCCTATCTTGGCAATTATATAAATAATGTTGCTGTTAATAGCAGGGTGTATGTATCTTTTTGAGTTAATTCTTATTTTGTGGTTGGCTTTATTCCTTTGATAACTATGTAAGTTTAAAAAGCTAAAGCTCTAAATGTTCTTAGAAACAATGAACAGTATATATATGTAAATTTAAAAATATATGTGCAGTAGAAAAAAAAATCTATCAAGCCATGAAAGACATAGAAGAAACTGAAAAGACATATTAGTAAGTGAAAGAAGCCAGTCTGAAAAGGCTACAAACTATGATTCCACCCAAACGACATTCTGGAAAAGGCACCGCTACAGAAACAATAAAAAGTTCGTGGTTTCCAGGGTTTTGGGGAGAGGGAGGGAGGGAGGAATGAACAGATGGAGCACAAGGGATTTTTAGGGCAATGAAATTATTCTGTATGATACTATAGTGGTGGCTACATGTCATTATGCATTTGTCAAAACCCATAGAATGTACAACATCAACAGTAAACCCTACTGTAAACTATGGTTGATTTTGGTTGATAATCATGTGCCCATGTTGCTTCATCAATTGTACCAAATATGCCACACTGATGGGGGATGTTGAGGGTAGGGGAGTATATATGTGTGGATGGGGAGGGCTATGTGGGAACTCTATATTTTTGCTCAATTCTGCTGTAAACCTGAAACTGCTCTAAAAAAATAAAGTCTATTAAAAAAAACTCATTAGAATTCAATTGCAAATATCAAGGTGGTTTCAAAATCTCCTCCCCAACTTCAGGGTTCTATCCCCCAAATTAGCAGATTCTATGACAAATCACACTATATTCGCCAGCTCTTTGGGAAAACATTTTGAGAATGAGGCAGAGAAGCCCAGTGGGTGGCCAGGTCCAACTTTCAACATCAGGTTACCTTTTATGTGGAAGAGGATGTTGCTATCACAGGGGTACAGGTAAGGGATGGGACCACCAGGGAGCTGGAATGCCCTAACTCAGGGGAAGGCAGGTGAATTTCACTGTTTGTTCCACTGGAAGCAGGTCTAAAGAGCTGGCCAGCAGGTCAGCTTCCAGTTTGTACAAGAGGGTTCATTGGAGAAGACCAGAGGAAGGGTGCTGTATTGCAGAGAGAGCAGGAGCTGATAAAAATGCCAGCCCTGAGGCAGAGTCAGCTCTCAAGACCTTAGAGCTCACAGACAACCCTCAAATTGTGTTTTTTATTTCAACCTTCTTTCTTTAAACCTACTTTAAGTTTCTGGTTTCAATATCCTTTTTCCTATATCCTGAGAGACATTAAGGAGTAGTGAGAAGAGAAATAACTTAAGGAACAAAAGGTCTGATTCAGGATGGGAAGAATGGAACATAGTGGGTTCCAGACAAATTTGGAGAAAAGGTCTTGTGACAGCTCTGTTACATACTGGACATGTGAAATCACAAGCTCTTCGAGCCTGAGGATCTTTCATGTGAATTTGATTTGATAAGTACTGTCTTCTGGGACTGTTGTAATGTGTATGAAGTATATAATACACAAGGCACAGTGCCTGGAATATTTTAGGGCTTTAAAGAATGAGAGTTATTGCTGTGATTATGTTGACTCCAAACCCTACATCCTCACCTGGGTGTGTGAGAGTGCATTTTTATTAGTGTGTGTTTTCTAAATCTAGGCTTTTTTTTTTAGAACACAAAAGTGCTATGGACATGGTATATTAAATCAGACAAAAATGTTTATCAGCAAGTAAAACTTTAAAATTTCCCCCCCAAACAAACTGACAGATAAAGAAACCAGTTTGTGGTTACCAGAGGCAGGGCATAGAGGGAGAAGGAATTGTATGAAAGTGGTCGAAAGGTACAAACTTCCAGTTAGAAGATAAATAAATACCACATATGTAATGTACAAAATGATAAATACAATTAATACTGTTCTATGTTAGATATGCAAGTTGTTAAGAGAGTAAATCCTAAGAGTTTGCATCATACGGAAAAAAATTTGTTTTCTGAATTTTGTATCTAATTTTGTATACTAAACCTATTGCAATAATCATTTCATGTTATAAGTCTGATTATGCTCTACTGTACACCTTAAACTTGCACAGTGCTGTACATCAATTATATCTCAATGAAGCCGCAAAGAAAGAAACAAACAAGCGAAAACATTTCCCCTCAGAGTTTATGTTCTTTAATTTGGGGGAAGGAATGTCATCCACAGCTGGATGTAATTCAGATTTCCTAGCATTTGCTTCAAGGACCAACACCTCTCCTCCCCGCCAGCTGCACTTTGTAGGGGTTCTTAACACAGTAGTCCCTCCGTTTCCAAGGGGATACGCTCCAAGCACAGCAGTGGATGCCTGGAACGACTGATAGTACTGAACCCTATAGGTACTATCTTTATTATATATACACATCTAGGATACAGCTTAATTTATAAACTAGGTACAGTAAAAGAATATCCAAATTGGAAGCATCACTGCACTTGTGTTTGGGCCATTATTAAGTAAGAGGTACTTGAACCTCTTATGTTGAAGCACTGTGAAACCATGACAGTTGATCTGACAAGGCTACTAAGGGAATAACAGGCAGGATACGCTGGATAAAGTGATTCATGTCCCAGGTGGGATGAAGCAGGACAGCATGGGATTTCATCACAGTGCTTAGAATGGTGTGCAACTTAAAACTAATGGATTACTTGCTTCCAGAATTTTCTATTTAATATTTTTGGATCACAGTTGACCATGGGTAACTGAAAGCTCAAAAAGTGAAATCATGGATAAGGAGAGATTACTGCCCTTCAGCATATAGGTTATTTTGAACTGAAAGTACTTGAGAAACAGTTGATGCAAGAAGGATACTCTAAGCCTACTTTGTCCCCCTTAAAGCAGGAGATAAATCTCCCTATGAAATGCACCCTCCCTATACCAGGAGGGTATAAGGCATCCTTACCACCAGAGACAAAGAATTTAGGGCCAGCAAGGCTATATAAATAAACACTGTTGTTTCTTCAACACTTAGAAACCCTAGTCCAAACCCCTTTTTCACGTCAATTCTTCAAAAATAGTTTCTTCGTCTGAAAGGTATAAAAGATTCCTGCTCTAGTTACTTGAGTCTCATATTTGGGATGCTCCTATACTTACAAACATAATTAAATATGCTTTTCTGCTATTGTTATCTTTCTCTTACAAGGGAGTCTCAGAGAAGAAACAAGACAAGTAGAGGGAAAACTATCTTTCCTCCCCTATACTTTCCATGCAACCCATGTATCCCCACCAAAATTTTAACTCTTGCTTATTATTTGCCAAATCACACTAAACACAGCTTAGTGAAATTTTCCCTTGAATGACACGAGCACTGGCTCTCCTAGACAATGGACAATTGTCAGCCCGGCCCATCATCCAGTTTTATGTAAAATCAACTCCCACTGAAGGATCTGAAGTTTCCCAAAGTCCCAAACTGCCATGACCTAACAGCAGTTAGCACTTTAACAGTCTTACAGGATTGTCCACCTCTATCTACTCACTCCTTCATTTTACTTGTCCTTTAGGATATAGAAGATCCACCATTATCCTTAAAAGATTATTGCTGCTATATGTTAAACCCTATGAGCAGGGCCTGAATTCTTAATCTCAGCAATCCCAGTACTAGTGCTGTGCTTTCCAAAGAGTAGGTGTTCACTGAAGTTTAGGGAATAAATGGTCCAATGAGCCTAAGGTCTAATTTATTAACATTTATTTCTTACATATTCATGTATATTTCATTTAATTTTATAAAACAAGAACTAAAAGGGATAAGAATGCTTTAATCTTTTATTTTTCCAACTCTATTTTTCCTTATTAATCCCAGCTATCTCAAAACTGATCCATCACATTTCTAAGAAAACGCCTATAGCAATGCCATTTTCTTATTTCAGGTGACAAAATAAGATGGATGGATTCACAGCTTGTTTTAAAAACTTTTTATTTTTTAACAAAATTCTTACTTTAAACTTATTATGGGGGAAAGGGGAGGTAACAGCTCAGTGGTACAGTGCATGCTTATTAGAATGCATGAGGTCCTGGGTTCAATTCCCAGTATCACATTAAAAAAAAAACCTCATTATAGCAGTAAATGTAAAGTTAACAACATTTATAAATCTGAAGATCCTGAAGCTACTTAAATCTATATTAAAAGAAATAATATTTGAATAACACGTATCTCAAAAAATAAGACTAAAATTTCAAGCTACTCATATAAAATAAGAACATATAGGGTTATACACCGTCTTCC